CTGAGCCGAAGGCAGATGCTTAACCAACTGAGCCACCCAGGTGCCCCTAATAAATAAAATCTCTAAAACAAAAAAAAAAAGGTAGAAAAAGAAAAGCAAATTAAACCCAAAATATAAGGAAGGAAATAATAAAGAGCAGAAATCAATGAAATGCACAAACAACTGAGAAAAACAAAAGTGAGTTCTTTGCAAAGATCGGATAAACTTCAAGCTAACTAACATGATCAAGAAAAAGAGAAGACTCAAATTACCAATATCAGGAATGAACAAGGGGACATCAGTACAGATCCTACACAGAGTAGTGGAATAAGAGAATATTCTGAACAACTTTTATATCAATAAATTCTGCAATTTAGGTGAAAACAAATTCCTTGGAAGAAAAAAATTACCAAAGCTGACTTAAGAAACATAGAAGATGAATAACCCTGTATCTGTTTTTGAATTCATAAGTAAAAATGTTTCAGAAAGAAAACTCTAGGTCCAGACTATTTAACTGGTGAATTCTATCAAATATTTAAGGAAGAAATAATACCAATCCTATCCAAACTCTCAGCAAACAAGAGGGAACACTTCTTCATTTATTCTACCAGGCTAGCATTGCTCTGATGCCAAAACCAGACAAAATAATCACAAGAAGAGAAAAATACAAACCAACATTCCTCATGAATACAGACATAAAATTCTATATCAAAATATTAACAAATTTAATCCAGCAATATAAAGAAAATGGATAACATATCATGACCAAGTGGGGTTTATGGCAGGAATATAAGGTTGGTTTAATATTCAAAAATCATTCAATGTATTTAACCATATTTATAAAATGAAGAAGAATCATATGATCATATCAATTGATGCAGAAAAAGCATTAGAAAGAATTGAACACACATGATAAAAAACTCTCAGCAAATGAGGAAAAAAGGTAACTCTTCAACCTGATAAAGAACATATTTAAAAAAGAAAAACCATATAGCTAACATCGTATTCATGAATAATGAGCGCATCTCCCCTGGGATTAGGAACAAGGCAAAGACAGATGCTCTCACTACCTCTATTCAACACTGTACTGGAGGTCACAGCCAGTGCAGTAAGAAAAAGAAATTAAAGGCATACGTATGGGTAAGAAAGAAGTAAAAACGTCTTTATTACAGATGCAATGATCATGGATATAAAAATCCTAAGATTAAGAAGCTACTAGAATTTCTAAGTGAATTTAGCAAGATGACAGGACACGTGATCAATATGTTAAACAACCGTATTTTTATATAATTAGTAAGAAGTAAATGGAAATTTAAAAAATACTATTTACAACAGCTTAAAAAAACGTGAAATACTTGGTGTTGTATTTGCAAGACCTATACACTGAAAAGCACAAAACACTGCTGAGAGAAAGTAAGGAAAATCTAAATAAGTGGAAACATTCACGTGCTCATGCATGGCAAGACTCAACACTGTGGGGGTGCCCCGGTGGCTCAGTTGGTTAAGCGACTGCCTTCAGCTCAGGTCATGATCCCGGAGTCCCAGGATCAAATCCCGCATCGGGCTCCCTGCTCAGCAGGCAGTCTGCTTCTCCCTCAGACCCTCCCCCGTCTCGTGCTCTCTCACTCTCTCTCTCTCTCAAATAAATGAATAAAATCTTAAAAAAAAAAAAAAAAAAAGACTCAACACTGTGAAGATGTCATTTCCCACAGAACTGATCTAAAAAGTCAACACTGTCTCAATCAAAATCCCAGCACTGGAGAAATGCAAATTAAAACCACAATGAAATACTATTCATATCCAAATACTGAGAAGTATGTAGAACAATCGGAATTTCTCATACATTGCTGGTCAGTGTATAGTATAACCCCTTTAGAAAGTTCTTAAAAAGCTAAATATAGATCTTCCTATGACTCAGAAATTTCACTCGTAACTGGAATTAAAGAGAAAATGAATGAATGAAAAATAGGAGTATAAAAAGGATGATATGAAAATGCTAACACAGCAGTTGTATCATAATAGCGAAAAGCTGGAAAGAATTCAAATGTCCATGAATAGGAAAATGAGCAATTACGGCATACTCATAAAACAAAAAGAAACAAACCACTGATACAACACATATGAATTTTAAAACAACTTATACGAAAGAAGTCAGAGACAAGAGTACATATATAAGATTCCATTTATATGAAATTAAAGAACTGACAAAGGTCATTTATGATAACAAATCAGAAAGGAATTCTGGGTGGGTAGCCAGGGGCAAGGAACTGACTGCAGAGACAGAAGGGAATTTTGGAACTGCTGGAAATAGCTTTACTGGGGTCGTGGTTACATAGGTGTACACATTTTTTCAAAACTTATTAAGACACAGTCCAAATTAGTACATTTTATTATTTTATACCTCAGTAAAATTTATTTAAAAAGTAAAAACTAAAATTAAAAAACAAAACAAAACTGTTATTTAAGCCCATGTTCCTCTCTGCCTAAAAGCTCCACGTCACAGTGGGGCAGGCTGAGGGGACCCCCGCAAGTTAGCTGGGCAACAGTTTTCCAAACTGTCCTTCCAATTTCACCGAAGACTCCAGGGAGTATCTCAGCAAGTCTTTAAGTGTTCGCTTTTTCTTGATTTGTTTCACTTACTAGTATTTTTTCTTATTTTGTTGAGTTGATGCGGAGACTTTTGTCCCCTCTTAAATTCAGTTCTTTTCCTCTACCACCAAAATACATTTCCATTTTCTCTGAAGAGTACATTTACTCCTAAGCATGAAGGACAGTCTAAAAACAAAACTATGAAAATGTTACCAAGTATTGACAGGAACTATCTTGCCAGGAACCAGGTAAAAAAGAGCTTTGAGCGTCAACTACCAATACAGTTCTCCCACCCTGACCACCCAAATATCTAGATCGTATTAATCACCGAGTGTGCAGACTACTGGCTGCTGCCAATGAGCCGGTTTCAAACCCATCTGCTTCATACGTGACTAAAACTTTTATCAGTTAGGCACATCTCTTTAATTTCTTCCCAATGCTAAGAGGAGCAGGACTCCAAAAAGTTGCTTTAAGACTATGATATTGGACAAGTTTTTAGGGTTGGCAGGTCTCTGCCACGTTTCTCTTAACAACAAAGGGCAGGAACCAGAGCAGCTTTCCGACGCACAAACACCACAAGATAAGGGCACACACACAGCATCTGAAGTGCATGCCGAGCACACAGCTCACTGTGGTAATCGTGTCCATGATGTACACTTATCACCAACACAAGTGCTAAGGTACTAAATAGTTACAGGCACCGAAACACAAGTTACTTTTTAATCTGATGGAACAGTGGGATATCAAAACTCTAGCAACTGTGCTCCACTTTCAAGAACACTAAAAACATCAAAGATGGTGTCATGTACATAATCTCAGTAATCATAACATCTATTAATTCCATTAAAAAAATTCAGTTAAAAAAAGAAAAAGCAAAAGGAGAAACTCTTCCTCAGAGGCTGGACTGACACAAACCCATGTAAGATGGTAACAAGCCCAGCAAACTCAACAAAGGTCTCTGAGTGGCTGGGACGGACCACAGAGCCCACGCCCGGGCAGGGAGCAGGGCAATGGAATCCCTGCCAGCCACTGAAAATGCCCTAGGAAGGCAGAGGCGAGTAAACGTGTTTACTCCAAACACACAGTCTGAGACCACTGAGTACACACAGAACCAATCTCAATCACCACAATAATTTATGAAAGTACTCTGCATTACTCAACAGTAATAGTAAATGCTGTTCAGAATGGTGACCCCGAGTCACCAAGAAACATTAAAGCCCTTGCTAAAAACAGCACGATGCACCATGTTTTATGAAGATGGCCAAAGAATGGTTATAATTTTCATCATTTCCTAGCTTAAAGTCCTGAGCTTTGGTTATCTCTTGATGTCAGGCACGTGGAACGCCCCACCTCTATGGACTGTGTTCTGGTATTAACTCCCTCCTAGTGCTTTCTTAGTGCAAAACGGTACCAGACTGAGTTTATGGACATGTCTAGAGATGTTTGTAAAACCACCACACAGATTAAATGAGTTTTTAAGTTTTCAAGCACATTATGAAAATGGGATTTCTCCTGTCATTATAAAACATCTTCCACAGAAAATAATCCACCCTACCTGCAGGGAGACAACTGCCAGGTCTTATCTGTGGGTTCATTATCGCCTACTGAAATTCTGTATTCTCTCTCACTTTCTAATTAGCTAGTGACTCATTATTCTCAGTTTCTCATTCCCTTTCCATCCCCTAAATAAAATAACACCCTCTATTACTTCCACAAGACTCCCTTCCCCACCTACCCCACAGCAGCACCGGCTGCCCACGGCATAGCACCCTCTGCCCAGTGTAAACACTGGTGGTCCGTGCCAGGCTAGAATCTGCAACATTCAGAGCTGCACTGGAGCGAGAAAAAAACCCAAGTCCTCCATCTTGCTGCCCAGTCTGACCAAGGAGGGACAGGTTACCATCCCGGAGTGCCTAGAGTTTGGAGACTTACCAGTCCTAATGAGGACAGCTAGTAATCTGCTTACTTCCCTGTGCCAGACCCTGGGCTGAAATGCTTCACACACATTATCTATTTAATCATCATAACTGTCCCATGAGATAGGTCCTATTTGATCCCCCCTTTCTAGCTGGGTGGGCTGTGCAAAGAGGTTATGAAGCAACTGAACCACGATCCCACTGCCACCAAAAGGCAGAGCAGGGTCAGACCCCAGTTACGATTTCAAAGCTCACCGTACCAGCAGCTTCTGGGCCCTTCACTCCAGTTGTCACAGTCTGTACTTCGTTTCCGAGTATACACCAAATGCCACAGATTTCCCTTATTCTGCTTTCTTTGACTACAAAGCACATATCTTGTCTTCATGTGGAATAGTTGTAACTGTCATAACTTTCAAAAGTGAGTGGACAAATCAAGCCAAAGATTCTAGATTTGGGCAGCCTTTAAATTTTGCTGTCTGAAAATCACTTTAACACTTAAGTATGTAGGAATATTACCTGGGGTTACAGTTAGCTGAAAGCAATGAAGCTTGTTTGGATCAGGAAAATGCACCTTACATGTACCTGCAAAAGAAACAGCACATCAGGAGGGTCTGGCAGCCAGCAGCGGTCCTTATGTGGAGGCTAACCTTGAAACAGACACGGAGTGGAAGGTGGCAGAGGAGTTTGTAGACTCCACCTTGCTCTTGGTGTGACAATAATTGAGCCACTGTGCTAAAACTGCAAACCAGTGATTTTGCCATACAGCCTTTTACTTGCTAATTCCAAATTGAGATGGTTTCTTCCAACTTTTAAACAGTCACTAAAAATTGAGATCTTTCCATTAACTTCAAAAATTATGCTACTTTACTTTGAAAAGAGAAAACCACATCTCAAGGAGATGAACACATGTGGGTAAGGCTAACTAAACATGGCAAAACCAGAAGAACTCAGGCCAAACTTCTGGGCTGTTCACCCACCACCATACTTACTCATACCCACCACAGTAAACTGAAGTTCAAAAGAAGGATGTCCATGGAATTAACTCATACCCAGAGTTTACCATGGCATTAAATAGGAGGGAAAGAAAAGTCTTCACAACCCAACTGGTAGCTCAGTTTGCTTTGCTGGTGAAATGATGCTCTGCTCAGATGGCAACACCCTGTGCCCACTGTACCACATCAGAAGGGGTCTGGTAAATCAGGACAAGGATTTCTCACTGGGGGAAGAACTAATGGCTAGTGGTACAGACAGGGGAAACTGGCTACATCCTATATCTGCTTCCTGCAAACAAATGATATCAAAAAATGGTAAATACACAAGGAATAAATACCCACTAAATTGGGAAGGAATATATGCAGAAATTGTCTATTATTTTATAAACTCAGAAAATATGCTAAACTCCTTGGGTCACTTACTGACTTTATTTCTTACAAGTCCCACCACTGAAAAATTTGTCTAGTTTTACAATGGTATGAAATTTCATCAAAAATAGGATGATTCAAATTTAGACTTAGAAATGGTCCTTAGAGATCATCTAGTTCAATGTCCTCAAGCATGAGATAACACAAAGGTCAGGTTTTGTTCCCAAATTAAAGACGAGTTCATGGTTCTTCTCCCTATACCATGCCTCATTTCATTACTTCAGGAACATGCCACGTGTGAGGCATAAAAACCACACAGAACTGTTAAGGGGGTTTTGTTTGTTAGTTTGTTTTTGGCCAATTCCTCAGAAAATTCATTGTAGAGTAAAAGGTAACTTAATCTAGAAGAGCAAGAAGGGGTCTTACGGATTACACTGTCACATTCCTTATTTTAGAAATAATGAAGCTGGGAGCCATGGAGTTCAAGACTTTTGCCCAAACCACACATGTGAACTGTATATGGGCTTCATTTCTCCTAATCTTGACTTGAAATGACAAATGCTATCTTTCCAGTGAGATCTATGCAACAGAAACATAGGACAAGGGCTTGGGGAACATCTCACTGATTGGCTGAAGTCGGCAGTATTCCTTTGTTTTCATACTTTGCATTCTCCTTCGTTTCAATAGAAGGATAGACATAGAAATCCATCCCTCTGGAACAGATTAGCCCACCAATAATAAAGAAGTTACCAAGGGAGATTAACAAACAATCCAAGTACTGAAAAGAACCAAACATTTTAAAGCTCAAAAAAGTCTACTAACAACAACAACTACAACAAAAAGTTAAGAGACAGGTTTTTGCTTTAGTTCAAAGCTTTTCCTCTGTCTGCAGGCATGGGCTAAGATTTTGTATTTCCATCTATCTGAAAGAGGTATTTTTTGCCAACAGAGAAACTTCTATAAACTCGCATATACAGAGCTCCAAACTAGTTCTGAATGATTATTAAGCAGCACTGCCACATAGGGAAGTTATTTTGTTTTTCTTAGTTAATACTTTAGATATATTATTAATACTAGATATGATACTAGAGATTTATTCTTTAGGGTGGCTTCTTGTTTCCTCTTTAGAATAATGAGTTGCGTACTTTTGGAAAGCATGGCTTACTTGTATAAACTAATTTAGACTTCTCCACTCTGATGGCACAGAGGGTAGGGAGAAAGCAAGAAAAGAGATAGCAATGTAGTCTCTTTAATCGGATACTTTAGCCATAAATGCTAGGGAGATGCCTTTTTCAAACCTAAGGTGTTTAGTTAAAATCCTGGTTTGAAAACCAATTACACATTGTTTTTACAATTTTTTCTTTTTCTTAAGTAGGCTCCCTGCCCAACATGGGGCTTGCACTCACGACCCTGAGCTCAAGAGTGTATGCTCCATTGACTGAGCCAGCGAGGTGCCCCCCAAAGTTTAACTGTTTTCAAACCAAAATTTTAGATAAAGTTAAAACTATCCTTTATGGGTTAAAAACCAACAATTTCTGTAAGAGTCGTATTTAAGGACAAAATGAACCGTGTGTAAGTGCTAAGTTTTTGTGGCCTTTGATTAAATGTATGCGTGTGTGTGTGTGTGTGTGTGTGTGTGTGTGTATATATATATATATATATATACACACACACATATATACCCTTTAAGAAAACCCCAAGACACTTCCTTCCAGTTCTGACTAGAAGAAAACTTTGAGATCAAGCAATTCAGGGATTTTTAAGACATTTCTGACTGAGACCCACACTAAGAAACCTATTTTATATCACAATCCACCACACCCACAGATAAATGCCATACATTAAAAATAATTTTTCAAGAAACTATGTGTACTTATTCTTACAAATGATTTTACAACCACTTAAGGGTCATACCCACCATCATCCTTCTAACTATAGTTGGTGGCAGGAATGGCCCCTCTCTTATCCGTGTCAGATGGGCCAGAGAGATCAAGCTTTCTAGAGCATTCACCCAGACCACGTATAAAATATTTCACTCACACTGACAAACATCCTCAGCCTCAGAACTATTTTTAACCAAATATGATCATAAAAAGTTCTAATTCAAAAAAATACTAAAATGATCAAAACTTTCAGCCTTTAATGGTATTATAAAAATTTGGGAAGGATTAATAACAGGAAAAGAAAAACAACTCTTTGACGTATCACACAAAATTAACTGCCCAGGTAAGTGAGCTTGCTCACGAGTGAGGACTGCACCGTGGGTCTGTGTGTCTGAGTGGGAAGGACCAAGGTGAGGATACCTGGTGACGTAAAGGGTGTGGTCACCCCAGCTCATGTAGAGAGACACATTACAGGCAAGCACTTTCTGGACCAAAAAGGTGGTACTGTCGCTCATGAAAACAGGACCATCTGTCACTGATTTATAGATCTTTTTACTCAAAGAGGACATGGGACAGAACACTGTGGAAGAGATACAAAACCCAGCCAAGTCACCTCTGCCACTGTAAGGAGAGAGGGGGCACCTTCGTGCTACAGTCACAAAGATGGTAAATATCTCACTCTTACCCGAGCCTCAACAAAATTCTGCTACCTGTTTGCACAAAATTAAAACTTTTACTCCCAACACACATGAAAAACAGGCTTTTGGCTATGCAAGGTTATTAAAACGTAAAAAAAAAAAAGCTTCTCCATGCAATTACTTTGCGGCACTTACTGTCTGGGTGGGGATGCTGTACTTACATGGTAAATTAGCTTCAAGCTCCGCAACCTCTGTGGAAACAAAAAGACTGTTGTTAGTATCAGTCAACTAAATTGGCAACTTCTCCCAAAACGCTGAGGAACAAAAGGGACTGAAGTAACTAAAATCTACACTTGGTCTAACGTTCAGACTTCAAGCCATGGAATTGCTTTCAAAGACACAAAGGGACTTGTGGGATGCCGGCAAGTACAGTCACAGGCCCTTGAAAATGTACTTAGTATAAATGAAGATCATTTAAAATTCACATAGAAATCACCTATAGGTAAACAGTCACTAAAGTGTTTTTGAAAGTCTTGTTCCCCCACATAGCAGAACTACTGCCCTTGGAATCTGATTTATATATACACCTTGTGTCTCTTCCAGTTCTTCCAGACCTGTCTTCCTGTGCAGCTCACCCAGTGTGTGCTTGAACTTTTCCAGGGAGAGAAAACTCGGCCTCCTGCCGGGGGCCCCAGGCTGTGCTGTTATCCAGCTATCTGTTAACATCTTGCTAACTGCCCAAGGAAGGGGGACTTGGAGTCTTGGCCCTTTGAATCATCACTCACTCAGTGTTTAAGCCCAGCATCCCTCTGCCAGGACAAAGCTGCAAACCCCCCACTACTACTATTAAGAGCTGAGGTCTGGGGGCACCGAGAAATAAGTGGGCAGGCAAGTCAGCGGTGCCTCCGACATAACAGAATGTGCTCTGGGGTTCTGGGAGCACAAAGATTCCCCCCAGCTGTGGAGACTAGAGAAAGGAGGTCTATGGGCCAGGCTTTAAAGAATAAATAGAATGAAGTCCAGCAGAAGAGGAAAAAAAGCATTCCTAGAAGCTAGGTTAGTGATGTGCAAAAGCACAGAACATAGACAAGCACAGAAACCAGAAGGCACACAATGCAGTCAGAGCAATGGGTACAAAACAAAAGAGCAACAGGAAACAAGGTAGAAAAACAGGGCCAGGATCTCGGAGGGCCCCGAGTGCATGGCTTAGAATTCTAAACTTAAATCTGCAGTGATAGGGAGCAGAGGGACATTTCTGAACAAAGTTTCCAAACTTTCCTCAAGAGGACAACTTTGAAAGGGCAAAGCAGAGGCCAGGTGACCTGTGGGTTGGGCACTCCGCGAGGCAGCAAGGGCCTAGCAAAGGCAGGGCGAGTTGAGGTGCCTGAGCGCACAGAAGACAAAAGGCTCTGCCAGCTGTGTAGGGTGGGAGGGTCAGAGACGGCAGAGGGCTGACTGACATGCTGGGGAAGTCCTGGAAGGAGGAAGCTGAAATCCGGGTACATGGCTAAGGCAGAGGAGTCCCCACAGTGATGCCACCTGTCAGTCATGAGACTGACAGAGGGGAAACTAGTGAAAAGAACGAAGCTTGGCAGAGAGCAGAGGACAAAGGCAAGGAGGTCCCTCATGACAAAAGGCGGAAAAATAGGAGACAGGTGGGGAACATAGGGACTCAGGGCACAGACTGATCCAAGGGAAATGAGGCCCCAGTCAAGGCCATCAGATGTGGATCAGACACTGCTGAGGGCATTGGGAACAGCAGGAAGGCAGGTGGCAGGATGGAAACCAGATTACGAAAAACTAATAAGTAAACGGGTGGTCAAAATATGGAGGCAGTGGATACGACAATTCCTTCATGTCAAGTATGGAGCAGTGAGCAGGAGGGGAAGAGGACAGCAGAGGCCACCACGTGGCACAGCTGAACACTGCGCACAGTAGTGGGAAGACTGGCAGGTGGCTCCATTCTGAGGCCAAGGGTTTGAGAGACGCACAAGCCTTTAATACCAGCTTTTTGAGAATCTGGGTACAGACAGGAGGCCCACTAACTGTGTTCACTCTGGGGTCCAGGTACTTAGAATGGGCACTCAGAAAAGTGGAGTGGGGCAGAGGAGAGAGGAGCTAGGGAATGGAAAGGTGCCCGCATGGGCTACAGTGCTCCATCTGATGCTCTAGCCAGGGAGAGACAAAGAGCCAATCTCTTCAGTGGAGCAGGGCATGCGGAGAGGAGTGACAGTTAATTATCCTCTTGCTGTGACTGGAAAAGGAACAAGTTTTGTGATGAAGTGCAAGCCCGGGAAGTCTGTTTTCTTGGCCGCCTTGAGTTGTGGTACATTTAAAATATAGTCACATAACAAACCATAATTAAGAATCCTATGAACGTTCACTATTCTTCTTCTTCTAATGACCAGTGATCTTTAGTTTCATCTTTCTGACTGGCGCGTCCTCACCCTTCCTTGGAGCAGGGCACCCACTAAAGAAAACAGTGTGCGGCAAAGGGGGGCCGAGACCACAGTGCTACCGCTCTGAGGCCACCGACACCGGGTCCTCCGAGGGCCACCCAGGGCCACACTCTGCTCCAGCCACTCATACAGGGCATTTGTTTTATCAAAAAAACACATATTTTATCAAATGAGTCATTCATTAATCACTTTAAAATAAATGTTACCTATATAATTAAACTGTATGTTTTAAAACTATATGCATTTGCACATTTTATTATACTATTACTTAGTTTGATGGTAAGAACTTACAAGAAACTGTCCTTGGGGGCCCTTGTTTTGAGAGGCTGATGTCGGAATTGGCTTTCGGGGAAAGCCTGTACTGTCTACAGTTGTGAGAACTCTGGCAGTCCAGCTTTAAAAAACCCAGTGAAATAAAAAACATTTCCAGAGGATTTGAGGAGGAGGGGGCCACAAAACAGAAGCAAAATGTTTGAGAAGACCATCTGGTGCCAAGGGACGGGGAAGAGGGAGGTCAGGACACAAGAGGACAGCAAGGCACTGACCAGGGGTGTGGTGGTGACTGAGCAACAGAACCAGACCCCTGCACCACAGGGATGGGACAGGGGGTAAGAGGCTTGTGTCCCCAAGAAGCCCGTCTGTAGGACAGGGAATCTCTGCCCTGGCTGCACATCACTCACCTGGAGAGTTTTTTTGCTGCCTCCCCCCCTTTAAAAACAGCTTTGGTGAGGTACAACTTACTATAAAATAGACCCACTTTTAGCATATGATTCAATAATTTTTAGTAAAACCTAGAGTTGTGCATTCATCACCATAATCTAGTACCTACTGCGCTTTTAAAACTCTTAGTCCTATGCAGACCCATTACACCAAAAGTTTTACGTGGGGCCTAGGCCTCTGAATCTTTTACTCTCCCCAGGTATCGGAAACTGCTACAGGGTATTTGGCCAGGTTAAAATATTCACACACAGCTATTTACATAGATGGATTTAACAACTTCACATTGTAGTCTAGAATTCAACTCCAAAGATGAGCATTATGCTTGCATTTCCAGGTTCAGCGTTACTCAGTCAAGGGAAGTGGACAAGAGCCAGGAGAGCCTCACCATAGTCAGGGCCGCTGCAGGCTTTTGGTCCAAGAGCAGGCAAGAAATATAATCTTAGGAGCACAAGAATTTCAATAAAGATATTGAGCATTTTAGTTCAGTCCAGTGCAGAAGATAAAATAAGCCACATACTCTCATGGAGTTGTCACAAATGACACATAGTTTCTCTACACTTCAAATGATGGCAAATAAGAATTCATTAGTATCAGTAGCTATCGCCTTAGAATCTATGTACAAGAAGTCTATGGCCACAGAAACAAGCGAATTGCTTCACATGCTTGACAGGCCTCTTTGCAAAGCAGTGGCCCTTCCCTGCCATGACCTCACTGCCTGCAGGACACAACCCTTACCTGTAAAATAGCAAGAAATTCAGATATTTTTAACCTGCTAAAGTCTCGCCTGTTCCAAGATGCTAATACCTCTACCCCTCACTGGCCCAGTCTTTCTGGGGGGCACCTTGCACAATTCCGAGGCTGCACAACTTCCTTCTGAGAGATTAGACTCTTTTCCTTTCTAACTAAAGAGCAAACCACAGAGCCCACTTGAAGCATGACTGCACTGAGATATCAGATTACAAAATCCACCTGATGACCACAGTGGTCCCCACACGGCACGTCTTCACCCCTTTCTGCCACAGGTTGCTCACAACACAGTGCTCTTGTTTCTCCACTGCCTGCCCCTCAAATCTGCACACTCTTCATGGTAAGGGCTGTCTAGTCTGACCCAGACCTGCAACCCCAGTACTTGGCCCCGGGCTTGGCACACACAGGGTGCTCAGGAAACGCTTAACAATAAGCACCGTCGCCAGCAAGCTGGCCGTGCTCCTGGTGTGCATGTCCTGAGATGTGAGAAGCCTTTCCCCTTGTGTAGTTAGGGACCAATGCATTCCAAAGTTGCCATGGAAGTGTGTTTCCCCAAAGTGCCTATGTTGAAGCCCTAACCCTGCCCCATCCCCATTTGATGGTATTAGGAGGTGGGGCCTTTGGGAGATGATTAGAGTTAGATGAGGTCATGAGGGTGGGGCCTTCATGATGAGATTAGTGCCCCTATAAGAAGAGATACCAGGTGCTTGCCAGGAAGGGGTCCTCACCAGGAACTAAATCTGCTGATGCCCTGATCCTGGACTTCCCAGCCTTTAGAATCATGAGAAATAAATGCGTGTTGGGCGCCTGGGTGGCTCAGTCGGTTGGGCGACTGCCTTCGGCTCAGGTCATGATCCTGGAGTCCCGGGATCGAGTCCCGAGTCCCGCATCGGGCTCCCTGCTCGGCGGGGAGTCTGCTTCTCCCTCTGACCCTCCTCCCTCTCATGCTCTCTGTCTCTCATTCTCTCTGTCTCAAATAAATAAATAAATAAAATCTTTAAAAAAAAAAAAGAAAGAAAGAAAGAAATGCGTGTTGTTGAAAGGGCCAATCATAGACACAGATGGCTCTCCATCGAGCCGGGCAGCTGTGCCATCCCATCCAGGGAGAGATGCAGCCGCTTCCCAGAAAACTTGATTACCTCCTTCCACCTGAATCACTTCCTCTTAGATTTTCTCTGACTGGAACTTCCTCTCTTAGCTTCCTGCTTGTCTTTACGCACTGAGCACTCCTTCTGCAGTCTTAGCATCCATGCACAGTGCCCTTACCTGGGAGACATCTGAACTAAGGGCATTAGCCCCTTCACAGAGACAGCATTGCTGGAGCCGAGGACTGAGGACCCCATGGAGCCTCACATCAGCCCTTCTACTCAGGCTAGGGGCCTTTTAGCAGCACACTGCCGAGTGCCAGCCCAGAGCACTCACAGTCCCCTCCACTCTGAGGGAGCAAGACTGTAACCCTGAAAACCAGCACAGCTGCTACAGCAGAGACTGGTATCAATGGGAATGGAACCCAAGGCCTCATGCCACCCCTACTTTCAACATGAGCTGACAAGGTCAACTTGAAACCTCATCTGTCTTCCACAATCCTCCCTGCCCTACTGGGCTACCGGGTACACCTAAGTGGGGCCACCAAGCTTCCTGGGCAGCTTCACTGGTATTTAACCCTTCAACAAAGCATTTTTTAAAGGTTAACCTTGGGGCCAGCTGCCTTAGCTCTATTTTAGTAGGACTCTTCCTCTCCGGGCCACTGCTCCAGCTTTTATTTTTTATTTTTATTATTTTTAAGATTTTATGTTTAAGTAAGCTCTACACCCAACAGGGGGCTCAAACTCACGATGCTGAGATTGAGTCACGTGTCCTACCAACTGAGCCAGCCAGGCGCCCTTCAAGTTTTTAAACTACAGAATGTAGTGCTGCTAAGTGCTCTGAATATTCTGGAACATGGCAAGCCAAACCCTGAGCCCACCCCCAGAGTCCTGGGCAGGGCCTGGCATGGAGAAAGCAGCTCTGGAGAACAATAAATGGTTCTCTTTCCCCCACTCTTCCAGGAACTGCACTGGAATGGGGCCCTTCCTGTCCCACCCCATGACCGAACTGCTCATGTGGACACAACAGCGCACCTGATGAGGCACCTGCACCCTGGACACTGGGAAGCACGTGTAGGTGGGCAGCCAGGCCTCTTTGCTCCAGGCCTGGAGCATGGAGAGCCACATACCACAGCCCCAGGACGCCAGGAACCACCTGGGGTGCGGGGGCTAGGATGGATAAAGGTACACACTGGTTCATTCCCCCTTATTCCCCTAATTTCAGAACTGACCCTGAACTCAGCTCAATCCAAGTCTCCACATTTAACAAAGACTAACAGAGGTGAAAGGTTCCTGCCAGCATGCCTGGAGCCCTTTGGGGTCTTTAGGGGTCACTAACAGTAGGCGGGCACACAGCAGGGACTAAAATGCCTGTTGAGCGAAAAAATGAAAGAACTAGGAGACACACACAATCCCATCATACAAAAAGTGCCAAGCTTCTGCTAGCTAACCAAGACCCTGCGAGGCTTTTTTGGTAGGTGGGGAGCACCGTCAGACTTAGAACTTGATGGACTCAGTGGCCCCACAAAGGTCCACCAGGAATTCAGCACCATCTGCCCCGTGACTAAAAACACCAGCAATAGCTCCCCAGTTAGGCTCAGACCTGCACAGATCTGACACTCTCTCCACAGTGTCCCCAGCTCCTAGGATTCAGGGCAGACAGCAGCCTTCAGTCCTAGCCCAGAGATACTCAATTGCTCTACACCCTCCAGGGACTGCTGCTACGAGCATCTCTCCAGCTCCAGCCTGGAGGATGTCCTTGAGTTAGCTACCTGAGGGGCGCAAACGAGAAGCTGGTGTGACCAAGGTGCCAGCACAGTGGAGGCCTGCCCTGGCCAGCTGCTCCAAGGCAGGCTATGGTTTTTCCAAAGACAGTGGACTCCAGCCTTCCAGAGGCCAGAAAAGGAACAGGAGCTACACAGTTCTGCAGCCACTACTGGCCCTCACCATTAGCACCAACTGCCCCTGCCAACCTCCATCTCCCCCATCCATCAGCTGAACCTATAGCCATCTGCACCAAGCCAGATCCCATACCTCTGGGCTATGGGATACACAGCCCTCCCACCCCACCCCAGCCCCCACAGGGCTCTTGGCAGATGGCCTTTAGCTGTGTCCTTCCAGGCACTGTGTAGGTCGCACAGACCCCCGTGCCCCAGGACCCTCACCCCTCTCAGGGGTGGCAACTGATCCATGCAGAGCAGGAAAACCTGACCATCTCACCTGACTGGGGACTGCTCTGAAGGCTACGCTTGCCCTAAAGAGAGGCTGTCTGGGGCCTTCCCCAGAGATCGATTTCTTGCTCTGCCTGCTCCTGAGTCCTTCACCTCCCTCCACAGGTATCAGTCCCAGGGATACTCCTTTATAACTATCCTGATACAATTCCCCACTCCTACCTATGGCACTGAATCCCAAGACACATTAACATACTTTTCTACAAACTAATGATCCTCATGAGTAACATTCCCACATGAGCCAAAGCCACAGCCCAGGATGACAGCGCTGACTAGAGCAATCTTGTTGAACTCAGACATCCAACTTTTTTCAAAGTTCCCAAAGGGGATTTCCCCTAGAAAGAATTTTGTTGTAATCACCCCTCAAGGGCCCACAATGCCATGGACTCCTGGACTCCACACACCACTTCCGCCATTCGAAATCCCCAGAATGAAGACCGCTCCAACATCCAGCCAAGCAAAGGAGTGCTCTAGGTGCAGAGCAGGAGATCATGGACCAGCAGAGCATCCTTCCTTATGCATCTGTTTTTCACAGCCCCCTCTCTCAGGCCAGGCCCACCCTTGCTCTCTACCCACCCTCCACCACATGCCCAAACTGCTCACCACTCAGCCAGCCCAACCTGGTCCAACAGCCCCAAGGCAGGAGGGAGCAGGACACGTGAGGTGTGTGTTACACTGAGCCCTGCTGCCCACAACACCCCAGAAACCTGATCATCACCAGTGCCCTGGGAGGATGGAAATAGGTGGCCCCACGAGGTGGTTTTGCACCTCTCTCTCTGATGAGTCTCACAAAGTCAAAGGACCTTAGCAGGGCCCTGTAAACCCAGCCAAAGACATCTGTCCTGGGAGCGGGGGCGGAGTCCAGCTTTATGAGCCTCCACGGGCTCCCCGGGGCTGCATCAGGCCCTAGAGCCATTTGAGAGCTGACAGGTGAATCCTTGAGCAGGGTGGAAGGTGTGCAGGAGCCCGTGCACCTCCCTGAAGGTGGAGCTCTTTTCAGTGGACCTGCACTTCTGTTCTGCTCGTTCAGCTTTTGCTTGTTGGGTCTGCTCCCCCAGAGCCTGCACCACCCCAGAATGTGGGTCTGGCTGTGCTGCTACAATAAAGTTGTAATCTGGGCATGTTTCTTAACCTCTCTGAGTCTCAGTCCTTCAGCTGCAGAATGAACAACCCACCTGGCAAGGCTCAGCAAAAGTCAAACAAGAACTGCCCTATAAAGTGTCCAACGGAGGGCCCGGTCCCAAAAGCCCTGTGTACGACAGCTATTAACCATGACAAGGATATGGTGAAGAAGACGGAACAGTCTACTCACTGTTTCCTCCTGCTCCTCCTCAGCTAACATCTGGGCATTCCTCACTCTAACTCCCGGGCACTAAAACACCCTCCACTTAAGGACCGCATCAACACATCAAACACCTTCCCCAGCTTGCCTGGCTCCTGGCTTCTTCTGCAGATGGAACCTTTGAGCCAGCATCTGGGAGAGAGACTCAAGTCCTATCAGGCCCATCCAAGTGAGGAGCTGCAGCCCATGTCTCACCCTCTGACCGCCACCACAATTCTGAATTCAATCTGACATAGTGGGTGATGTCAAAAGGTAAGAAATGATTCTTACTCCATCATCCATCAGGCTGGATAAATCAGAGCTAAGGCCAGATTCAGGGGCAGGGAGAATAAGGAAGAGCGCACCGCCCAAGACTCCCTGAACCTGACGCCTTCCTGGTGCCACTCCTGCCAAACTCAGCAGTGCCTCGTTTCTGAGGACAAACAGTGCATGCACCCATGCCAGCTCTCCCGCCATTAGGTCTGCTTCAGGACACACAAATGCCAGCAACCTCATGGTGTCTCACAGGGAGTCCTAACCAACTGTATACTCGTTGCTTCCTAGCTGCTATACACTTAAGAAATGTAAACACATGCCATAAAGTAAAAAGTGCTACAAATTCTAAGCTCCTTAAGGCAGGAACTGTTTCTTCTTCATCTTCTGTAGTCCTCATGACCGCAGGAAACTGCCTTTGCACCTGACAGTCGTTAAGTCTGATCAATGAACGAACACAAACATTCCATACAAATGCATGCATATTCACACACTATATAAATCCTTCTCCAAAGACTACAGCTCTAGGACACTCAGTTATTAATTTTGTGAAGGGAACTAATTTTGTATAAAGCTCTCTTCAAGCTGTGACTTGAATAAGTACAGAAGGATCCTAGAGATTACTGAAATCCACTCCCTCCCTTTACAGACCAGAAACTGGTGCTGAGGTGTTAGAGAGGGACTCTGGAACCCCTTGTGATTGAGCACAAGAAAGGAAGATGCTCCCCCCTCGCCCCCACAACCAGCCAGATACTGAGAGCACTGAGACCAGAGTACCATAATCCTCCCACCAGCATTCTGGCAGCCCCTACAGAGCATATTCCAAGTGTGTAAGACATACCACATTTTCTTGTCCTTAGTATTCCCACAGTACAAAGTCCTTGTAAGTGACAGGCAATTATATTTTTAAATATTTTCAAATAGGTATTTCTACTCAGCACCTGGCTGCTTCATATCCCCAAAGAGCCTCCAGTCAGACTTCATTTTGTTACAGGAGAGAAACCAGCTTGCATGGATGACATTACCTTTAACAAGCAGCCTGTCTCTCACAGATACCCTCCGAGTGGAGTCGGAGGCCGTGGCTGACGTCCGGGACCCTTTGAGACCGTCCTCCCGCTTCAGTTTGCTTGCCAACGTCAGCATTACTGCTACCTTTACCCTGCAAGACAGACCAAAGCAGGGTTATGGACACGTCTCTAGACAATGACTGGAAATTGAAGACAAGGCCATAGGTGGTTAACTTTTTCCTATAATTTAGTCACAGAAAAATTCAGCATATAAGGCACATTCATAAGATTGGATTCCTTTACAATTAATCTGGGAAATCTCTATGCCATCCTCTGTAAGTCTAATTTTTTAAAGTACACAAAAATTTTAAAAATGGAGAGCCATGCATTTAACATTCATTAGGTACCAGGTCCTGGGACACAGTGGTGACAAAGATCCCATGAGCTTGTGGTCTAGGGGAGCCTCCACCCATGGGTTCCACGTTGGCCCACCACTGTCCTCTGGCTAAGTGTGCCCCTCTCTGCTGCAGGGACCATGCACTTGTGTGTGCGGCCCTTGTGCCTGGCCCATCGTAGCCTGAAGGGAGCATCAGCTCTGGGTAAGAGGAAGCAATGCAATGCTTTCTTTTTCTTCTTCCTTTAACAAAGGTGTGGCTGGAAACTTAAGAAGCATCTTTGCATTTATTTATGTTGTATCTTATTTACATTTTTTAGGCAATATCAACAACAATAGTAAGTTATAATTAATGCCCCAAACTAGACTCTCTTCATTGGCTGCTTCCAACCCATCTATGTTTCAGGCACCACCCCCTGAAACTCACTGAAAGCTCACTGGGAAAGACAATGAAGACCAAACACAAAAACTGGTCACCGGTCCAATATTTCCATAATTTCCTTTGTTGCTTTCATATTATTTCCTTTCAATACCACTCTGATTGTTTTCAAAAGAAAACAATCTAAAACTTCCAAATGAAAAACTTGACCCAAACACAAACTTTTAGTTTGAAGCTAAGATATTGAAAGCCAAAATAAGAATACGCTTCCCCCACTGGTATTTTTAACCATTTTTAACCCAGGTTCTTTACATAACTTCTCATACCATCTTCTTCTGTATATCTCCCCCTCTTCCAAAGACTGTCAGATTTTATTTTCTATTATGTATGCCATAAAAAAGAAACATACTGAATATGATCTTCTGTATTGTATATGACCCCCACACAAACACACACCTAATCCCTTTTAGAGTCAGTGGTTTAAATGCTTCAAAAGAGGGGCGCCTGGGTGGCTCAGTCGGTTAAGCGTCTGCCTTCAGCTCAGGTCATGATCCCAGGGTCCTGGGATCGAGCCCCACATTGGGGTCCCTGCTCAGCGGGGAGCCTGCTTCTCCCTCTGCCTCTGCCTGCCTGCCTGCCTACTTGTGATCTCTCTCTCTCTCTGTCAAGTAAATAAATAATATCTTTAAATAAATAAATAAATACATGCTTCAAAAGATGGTTCTATTACACATTAGTATTCACAAGGTCCTAAAATTTCAATCTGGGAAGGACTTCCCCCTCCAACCCCCAATTCCCACTCTTTTTTTTACTGATGTAGATCCTGTGACTATGGGAGCCCAGGAACTGGCTTGGTTAAGGCCACTCAGCTGCCAGAAGCAGTCACCACAGAAACATCAGTTTCCCTCCTGGAGATGACACAAACATTTTGAGTGTGGTGATGGTTTCAGGGGTATATATATCAAAACTGATCTAACTGCATACTTCGAATATGTGCAGTTTCATGTACTTCAATCATGCCTCAATAAAGTTGACACAAATGTGAAAACAAACCAACACTAGTTTCTTCATTGCCACTTGACCATGACATCTCCCCAGGCGAACCTACACAGTGGCCTGGACCATAACCAACATGTCTTCTCAGCGTTACCCAGGGCAGGGAGGTATTGGATCGGCAACCTCAGCAGGGGGGCCTGGGGGTAGGAATAAAGTCAAACACCCATAGGGGCTCCAGCCTGCAGCTACTAGAGACAGAAGCACCATCTAGAGCCAGGTTCTTTTGCTCAGCCCCCACCTGGAATGATCTTGTCAGGAATCTCTTAAGCAGATCTGGATCATAAGGCCGTGTTTGCCGCCCCAGCCAAGTCCACCGACACACACCCAGACTTGAGCACATCAGTCCTGCCACCTGGTTAGGACTGCCTGAAGATGGACCAAGGCATGCAACCTTCACAAAGTCCAATTGGTTTTTATCTTCTAGCTGACCTTGGCAATACAAATATGGCAAAAAATGAAAAAAAAAAGCCCAGCGTGAGTAAAGAGAGTTCCTGTAGGCAGTACTCCAGGAAAGTTAAAACAAAGAGCCCCATGGAGAAGCAAGTGCCAGGGCACCCAGCTCCCTGAGGACCTGCACTGAAAGAGCCACTTGGAGGGTCCTGGCAAGACTTGTTTACAAAGGCTCACACCAAGACACTCATCTGTGTCACTGCAGTCTGAGGATTCTGACTTTTTTTTTTTTTTTTTTGAGAGTGGGGGTAGGGGTGGAGAGGGAGAGAGAATCCCAAGCTGACTCCCTGCTGAGCGAGGAGCCCAACTCGGGGCTGGACCCCAGACCCTGAGATCAAGACCTGAGCTGAAGCCAAGGATCAGACGCTCAATCAACTGAGCCACCCAGGCATCCCACTGCTTATTCTTTTATAACCCTACTACTCCACACTGAAGTCTTCTCTGTGGGCATAATGTGCCTTATACTCAACTCCGCTAAGAGCCAGATTCCTGGCTTGCAACCTTCAACAAGTTTGTGGCCCTTAATAAAAACATGGGGCACTGACTGAAAGGTATAAAAGACAACAATACTCATGCTTTGTTGTCCATCGAAGAGAACACTAAACTTACTCTCCTAGCATTCTACGAAATCTAAGTGTATAATGACCACCTATTTGTCCACCATCTGTATTACTACTGCATGACACTGCAGGGATAAACCTAAGGCCTAATTTGGAAATGTTTCCTTAGCCGTTAAATTCTCTACAAAGAGATCTGAACAGAGAGAGTTATTCAAACTGTCAAGAGGTCTGCCAAACACCTGCAGTTGCTGCAGGATTCTCCTTTCCTTCTGTACTATGCTTCACCGACGGAAGACCAGGCTCAGCAAGAAACTGCCCCTTGACTGCAAAGCACACAGTGCTTCTGGTGACAGATCAGCTGCATCGAATGGCATGCTCAGTCTCTAAATCCCACAAGTCCCAATTGGCCCATTTACGTTCCTCCCCCGGGTGGGACTTGCTCTCTGGCTGTTCAAAGAAGAGTCCTGTGTGCTATTTACCAGTCTCATCATCAAGTCATATTTACTCGGCATTCCTGCCTGCAGTGGCAGCATCGGGCCATGTCACCTCTGCAGGGACACCAGGAGCCAGTCAGCTCAGAGGGAGGACCGCCACATCTGCACTTCCTTCTGCTGTGGACAAGTCCCAATCTTAGAGTAAAAGACGGAAGTGCAGGTCACTAGGGGACAACTAACTTCTCCATCCAAAGAAGCCCTCATCAGGACACAAAAACGTCCACGCTGTACCCTCCTCCTTCAGAATGCCAGGGCCCAGAAACCTCCCACCTGGCAGGGCTGTCACCCTGGCTGGCTGACCGGCTCTTGGAGCCCGACCCTTTATTTTCATCAGTAAACATGCCCCCTCCTGCACTGCCTATTACCCGAAGCGCAGGCAACTCTGGGTGGAGGTCCTCAGGCCACACACCACCCAGCCCGGTGACGATCTGCCTCTGAACATCTCTCCCACCCTTCTGTCCGCCCCCCCACCCCCATCCCCATATCCAGCCAGAAATCCTTTGCAAGCTGGCCTCCTCCCTGCTCCTCAGCACCACCTTGCCCGTTTCTGGAATCTTCTGTTCAATCTGATGATATCCAAGTCTGGAGTGCCCCCTTCCCTTCACCACCTACTGCTGTTCCTTCCTCAGGACAACAGATTCCCACGTCTGCTCCAAGGAGCCTTCTCTGGCCACTCCAATCCATCCTGCCCCCACTCCAGGGCTGGAGGGAATGCGGACGGGGGAGGGCCAGTCCCCCCATGTGACAAATGAGGAAACTGAGCCCCGGGAGGGCAGGGCCACACCCAGGATCACACCCCAGCGGAACCCGGTCTGGAATCCGAGACTTGGTCGTTCAGATCGTTCCATGACGCCCTCCCTCCTTTCCTGCCCTCTCGGTCCGGGTACAATCCTCCCGACGAGCCGAGGCCGCCCCAGCCGCGGGGCAGCTGCAGGCGAGCCGGCGAGGCGGGCGTCCCACTCTCACCCGCGCCGCTCTCCGGGCCTGGCCGGACGGCCCGCGTCCGAGTCCCGCGGCCCCCGGCCCCGCGGGCTGGTGACCTTGGGCTCCGTTTCCTTCCGCGGCTCCCCCGCGACGGCGGGCGGGAGCGAGGCCGTGAGGGCGCCGGCCCAAGCAGGCGCTGCCTGCGGGCTGCCCCTCGAGCCCGGCGCGGCCGGCGCCCCGTCCCTTTCCCAGTCAGGCGGCCCGGCCCCGCAGCGCGCGGCCTGAGGCGGCCCCGGCGCCGCCCGCCCTCCGGCCCGCCCGCGGTACCGGCGCCGCCGGAGGCCCGCGGCCGCCCCCTGCCCGCCGCGGGGCCGCGCGCTGCTCACCTGGGCACCCCGAGACAGGCGAGGCGGGCCCGGCACCCAACACCATGCCCGGCCGGCCCGCGGCGGCGACACACGGCCCCTCACAGCCGCACCGGCTCCGGGCGGCGGGACCGGAAGTGGCGGGGCGGGGACTCAGCCGCTCTCGCCCGCGGCGGCCGCGGCGGCGGCGGGCGCTTTAAAAAAAAAATTCAAAGCCCCGACGAACTTTATTTGGAGCCCGACACGCGAACAGCGGCGTGCGCCTGCCGGGGCTGGGCTCCGCGGCTGGCCGCCCGGGCCTCGCTCATTGGCAGAGGCCGCGGCGGGGGCGGGCATGGATCTCACCGCCCCTGCTGATTGGCGAGTAGCGGCCGGGGGCGGGGTCGTCCCAGCGGCTCCGGAGCCTGCGCACCCGGTGCCCCGGGCTCCGAGCAGCGTTCCTACCTCCATTCATTTCGTCGTGCGTGGTACCTGGACCCGCGGTTCAGAGGTGCTGGGCACAGCCTGCGCTGCAGGAGCGGCTGGGCCGAGCTGACCGCCTCGGTGGATGGGGAGCCCGCTCTGTGCCCGGCACAGTGCCCGGGGTCTGTGTACTGGACCAGGCATCGGGGGTGATGGGCGGGGCCGTCAGGCGTGCAGCGCCCACCGATCAACCCCAGGTGTGCTTCGGGGCAGCCTGCAGGAGTGCCTTGACCCTTTCCTGATCTTGTCTGGAAGGCTTTTATTCCTCTTTTCTCCTCCTGCACATTTGTAAAATACCGGCTTTATCTATTTCTAGCTTGTTGAATACAAATTCTCACGTCCATTTGTGTCCCTGTGATTGAAATAGGCGCTGGGGTGGGGGAGTCAGACAAGACGGCTCCTGGAGGAACGGGCCGTCTAAAAGATGAGGTTCGCCACGTGGACCGGGAAGAAAGAGCCAAGGAGTTAGAATTTTATTTCCAGAAGCCCCACTGAATGGTTTTAAACAGTGGAGTGGAGTTTTCTTTCTAAAAAAGAAGCTTCTGGCTCTCATTGAGCTCGTGGGAGGGGAGCCAGGCGGGGAGTCAGGAAGACCAGTGAAGAACCAACCCATGGTATTACTTCTGTTCTGGAACACTTCCCACCTTCTTCTCCTGGCTAACTCTTGTTTCCCTAAACTTAGACACCACTCGCTCAGAGAGGCCCCACAGTCTGGGAGGTGCAGGTGTCCCTCAGTGACTTCACTGGAGTTCTGTGCTTGCCCTTCTTGGTGCTGGAGACTTCCTGCCACCGCCTGTTTCCCCAAGTTCAGCTCCTCAATCCCTCCTCTGCCATGTTCCCCATCCTTCTATCCCTCCTCCCCCATCCTGTCACACAACAGGTGGTCAAAATCCATCTGCTTGATTAAGTATTGCATGTGCTTATTGCTGGAGTCCTGGTGAGAGAAGATAAGACTGTGAAGCAAGGCAGCAGGTGAAGACACAACTGGAATGACTTGAAGGCTTGTCTCACTAAGGGGCCACTCTGTTTAGGATGGGCTGTAGGGCCCAGTGCTCCCAATCTCGCCAATCTGGGTAAATGCAGCCATTTCTAGCTCCATTTCACAGGGCTGCCTTGTGTCTTCACCTGATGTTTATTTCAGGCTTACTAGATTGTAAATTCATGTAATCCTTACAGCAACCTCAAGAAACAGGCATTTTGTTACAATAGTCCTCCCCCTTATCCATAGTTTTGCTTTCCAAGGTTTTAGTTGCCCTCAGTTACTGCAGTCTGGAAGCAGATGATTCTTCTTCAGATGTATTGTCAGATGGTCAATAGTAGCCTAATGCTATGTCACAATGCCTTTGTCATTCCACTCACTTCATCTCATTGTGAGAAGAGGAAGGGTAAGTACACTACAATAAGATATTTTGAGAGGTGCCTGGGTGGCTCAGTTGGTTAGCGTCTGCCTTCAGCTCAGGTCATGATCTCAAGGTCCTAGGATCGAGCTCAGGGTTGGGCTCCCTGCTCAGTGGGGAGTCTGCTTCTCCTTCTGCCCCTCCCCCTGCCCATGCTCTCTCTCTCTCTCAAATAAATAAATAAAATCTTTAAAAAAAGATATTTTGAGAGAGACCACATTCACATAACTTTTATTACAGTATTGTTATAATTGTTCAGTGTTGTTATTAGTTGTTAATCTCTTACTATACCTAATTTATGAATTAAACTTTATCATAGGAAGAAATAAAATATAAATAAAATATAACATGTGTAAAGTAAACTTTATCATAGGTATGTATGTATAGGAGAAAACAGTCTATGCAGGGGTGGTAGAATCCATGGTCTCAGGGGGGTCTTGGAATGGATCCCCTGCAGATAAGGGGGGACTACTATATCCCCATTTCATAGATGCAGAAACTGAGGCATGGAAGTAGTCTGCCTGACATTGCAGAGTTGGGATTTGCCCTCAACCAATGCACCATACCCCTTAGTAACTGGTGGTCCCAGCAGCCAAGAAAGGAGTCAAGTTGACCTTCATGCTTCCTGAAGAAGCAATTTGTCATCATCCACGGCTTCTTCAGAAATGGAATTTGTACTAGCTTAAGCACAAAAGATTGAGAAGACTGGAGTGCTCACAGAAACCAGGGAGATCAGTTCTGGAGATTTGGGGGGCAGCATGAGGGACTTGTCGTGTGCAGGCCTCTTGTTCTTAGTGGTTCCATCTGAGTCTTGGCCTCTGGAGGCTGGCCATGTCCTCCCAGAGGCCTCCTTGGAGCTGGGGTCTGGCCTCAGACACATCTTTACAATCCAGGCCATCAAGGGAGCTACCCCCTTCCTCCCAATCTCACATTCTCTGGGAGGGCTGGCTGGGCTTGGATCCCACACTCATATGGGAGTGTGTGCATATGGGAGGGAAGGGGAGAGGTTCAGCTGTGAGCCTTCCAGAGGGGTACAGGTGCCAGGGGAAGAGCAGGCAGACAATTCACCAGGTGTCCTTCCCACCTCCTGCACCCTTACCCCGAGAAGTTCAACCAGGACTTCCAGCCGGAGCATGGAAGGGGAGATGTCCTTTATCTGTTTTCAGCTAGGCCTGCCTCTGGACACACAGGCTGCACAGCGATCCCAGAGGCTTTCTTGGCTTGGCCTGGGGCTCACTGACCTGGACGACATGGTGTTGGCAAGCCAGGGATCTGGGCGCTCTTCAGCCTAGGGCAGCGGGCCAGTTGGTTAACAACATCTGTGGCAAGGGCCTGGGTGCCTGGTGTGAGGCCTGCTTGGGCAGGAAAAGTGACCTCTGCTGGTAAAGCCCTGGAGGGGCAGCCTTCCTTAGCCACCCGCTCGGTATTTCCCTCTTGCGCTCACTGTGGAAGAAGCAGAGCTCTCCCGCATCAGTGGCACCCCAGTGGGGCAGACATTCCTGGCTCCGTGTTTCAGTGAGAGGTAAAATCTATAGCCTGGGTGAGTTGATACGAGAGCCAGGCCCATGCGGTCCAGTGCTCTTGCTCTTCTGTCCCGCACTGTCCCGTGGACTCCAAGCTTTCCCAGGGCAAGACCTTCATGATGTGTCAAAGCCAGCCCCTTGCAGGGATTGGGAGATAGCTCTGGAGGCACTAGATATGGAGTAGATGTGAGTGGAAGGGTCCAGCTCAGCCCTTAGCTGGCATCTGTTCCAACCTGTTCTGTGTTGTTCCAGGTTATTCCAGGGTGTGCATCCTGCCCTCCAGCCAGGCCTGGCTCTCCCTGGGAGCAAAGCCCAGGGCACTGGAGAGCAGGCCTTGACACACACAGGCCCCTTGTTCCTTTGTGTCTTCTGAAATCTATTCCAACAAGTCAAGAACTATATGATGGGCATCTACCAAGTGCTGAGAGCCTGAAAAGGACAATGTATAAACTGTAGACCCTGGCCTCCAAAAGCATGAACTCCCCAGAGAACTAGTCGTAGGTAAATCCCACAGATGGGAGAGGGATTGTAAAGATGTCCCCCCTTATCTGCAGGGGATCCATTCCAAGACCCCCCTGAGACTGATTCCTGAGGTTTGCTTGGCAGGGGAGAGACCCATCTGTCCCACTGGAGTTTAGAGACTGTTGGGGGAGAATGGGGGAGAACAACTATGCTGACCATAGCCCTTGCCTTAGAATCCAGCTGGAGAGGCTGATGACGAATGTGCAAAAACCCAGGCCTTGCTGGTGACTTCTGTTGCCTAAAGTGGAGACAGGGTACTTGGAGACAGGTTCCTTATTTCTAGGAAAAACTTTATTGGGCCTTTCAGGGTAAAAGTGCCCTGGGCCTAATCTGGAGAGGGGAGGATGAGGCACAGATGAGAGCAGACAGAGTGGCTAGAAGTGGTTATGGGGACCTGGATGAGTTGTCTTAACCAAGACCCACTGGCAGCCTTGTTGACCCAGTTCTGGCATCCATTGTGGCATGGAGGGAGGGAGCAGGCTCCGTGCCATTGGGCCAGATGGGAGTTATGATGATGATGATGATGATGATGATGATGTGAGGGGCTATCCAGACAGCAATTGGATTCTAAGGACTGTGACTTTAATTACATATCTGGTATAATTAACTTTTGACTGCTCTTATAACTAGCCCCCAGGGAAAACATCAGTTTCCTTTTATTCTTTTGAAAGATCATAAAATAGGCTGTGACAGCTATCCTGGAAAGGTCCTGAAATAGAGCGCTGTTTTAAATATTATAGGGCTGAGATTTTCTTCCTTCACCTAAAGCAACACTGGGCACATTTTTTTTTTAATGTAGATTTATTTATTTATTTGTTTGTTTGTTTATTTATTTATTTATTTTAAAGATTTTATTAATTTTTTTGACAGAGAGAGACACAGCGAGAGAGGGAACACAAGCAGGGAGAGTGGGAGAGGGAGAAGCAGGCTTCCCGCCGAGCAGGGAGCCCGATGCAGGGCTTGATCCCACGATCCTGGGATCATGACCCAAGCCGAAGGCAGACACTCAACGACTGAGCCCCCCAGGTGCCCCATACACTGGGCACATTTTAACAAGAGTTGTGCATTGTGACTGGAATGCAGACATGGGTAACTGATCCTCTGGTCCCCACCCCTCCGCCCCTTCCTGCAGGCTGCACTCATGTGATTCTTCCCCCCTCCAGGCTGCCCATCAAATCAGGCCCCAAAGCTGGCAAAGCTCTGAGGGAAGCTGACTTCGTCCAGAGCCTTTTGCTTTTCCTTTCTTGCAGAAATGAATTGAAATGGCTGCTATAG